GGATTTTCCAAGGTTATTTTATTAATTTGGCGGAGATCTTCAAAAAATCTTTCTAATTAAACAACCAAAATATTGACTTTTAAAATGGGAAAAAAATTGAATTGCGACTCACATCGAATTTGAAATTGTAGGCACTAAGAACGTTGCATCAACCATTGGCGAAAAAACATATAATACAGGTGAAGTGATTGTTGGTGGTACCAAGAGTGCTATTAACACGACCATTGAAACTAGCGGAAAAGTAGCTCATGATGCTTATGATCAAACTGGCAAAGCAGTTCACGCCGTTGGCGAAAAGACGTCAGAAGTCGCACACAATGTCTGGGATGGAACTAAGCACACGGCTGAATCGATTGCTGACGGCACGAAAAATGTCGCTTCCAATGTGTATGATGGCACAAAGAACGCCGCTTCGAATGTTTATTCCGCTGGAGCTGAAAAAACTGGACAAGCTTGGGAAGGTATGAACTATTCTTGATGATTCAATTGATTTACGTTTAGATCCAAAATATTGGAACTTAAGCAATAACACGAGCATTGCTTAATTTCGAATGGAAATCATGTAAAATGAAATCAATTAAATCATTTTGAATAAAAACAAAAAAAAACATGGCCTTTTTATAGGCACCAAAGGATTGGCCTCATCAATTGCTTCGACTGGTGCCGAAACAACTGGCAATTTGTTCCGTAAATTCAAAGACACCACGTCGTCGGCATTTGAAAGCACAAAATCGAAAACCGATCAAGTGGCCGATTCAGTATCGGACAAAGCGCAAACAGCTTGGGAAAATACCAAGGATACCACAAAAGAGATTGCTTCCAAATCGAAAAAGAAGACAAATGAAACGTTGAAAGGGGCAGAACAATCGGCTCATTTCTTAGGTAAAAAACATAACGAACAATTGCGATGAGTTAAAATCGAAAATTAATTTTTAATTTTTGCAATGAATACACACCATTATGGTAATAAAGCTAAAGAAACAACGGCTCTTGCAAAAGAGTGTGAAGACAGTGTTGAAGATGCAATCGAAAATATCGGCGACGGAACCGAATCAGCATGGAATCGAACAAAATTAGCAGCTAATGATGCTGGTGAGCTATGAGTTGTGTTATTGATTTTGGTTTGTCCACAAAAAATAGAAAATATTAATCCGTTTTTATTTCTCTGTTGCTGTTTTGAAAAAAAAAAAAAAAATCAAACACATGTCTGTTGTTTGCATAAAAATAAACACAGCACAAACAACTGATGATGCAATAAATGCGGGAGTGACATCAGCAGGTGCTACTTCAAAGGCGCTATTTAAAAAATTCGATTAGATTAAACATATTTATATTGTCTCGTCATATATATATATATATTTCTTGTCTCATTTTTTTTAATGTCAAAACTTTGTTGTTTGAAGAAGAAAAGAAATGAGCAAATCTAACACCAATTTGGAACCAAGAGTCCAATTATTTTTTTATTACTAATATTTGTATGTAATGAACAGAATAAATAACTCATTAAATATATTTCTATGTATATAAATGATATGATTAAAATTGTGATGAATTTCATTGCCGTACAAAAAATTGACACAACGATTTCGAAATGCATCGCTCGATGCGGAAGTCTCGCCTTGATTTGACAAATCGTTCTGCCAATTTCTTTTGTCGAGGTAATGACATTTGAGATAGATATAAATCAACCCTCCACTTCATGAAATGCCGCATATATTCCTGTATCGTCCAATATTTAAAAAAAAAAATGTTTTATTCCAATTGGCTGGATAATTGTTGATGTAAGTGGAAAAACATGCATTGTTTTGATTTCTTGGTTCAATAAATCGTTTACCATCCACAACCGAAAAACGCTTGAACAAAAAAATTATGCACACATCAATAACGAAATTCTCGATTTGATTCAATCGCTTTGGCCGCTAGTCATGTCTTTGGGAAATGATGTTTTCTCTTTTTCTCTCGCTCTCTCATTTCTATGACATTTCAAAAATATCGATTGTATCGAAATTGAAATGTTGATGCTTATTTTCCAAAAAACAACAAACAAAATTCTAACCAACTGGACGTGTCGTGATCTGTCTTTGCCACTAATATTGTATTCGACTAATATATACACCAATTCAACATATGTTATTGTAAATTTTCATTTTCAAGGACTCTTTTTTTATTGCTGCATATATTCAAATTCCTTTGTATATGCTAGACTATTTTTGGGAATCTTTCAGTTGTCATGTATAAATATCACATTTACTACTCGCATGATCCATTTTATTTATAACTTTGGATTATTTTTGGACTTAAGTCGCACACTAATTACAATCATTCAAATCACAATGAGATACACTCTTGTAGATTTTGCATGCTCAAATCATGATTAGATCTTTCATACAATTAATTTGGACATGAATTTTCATGTGTGTCCGTTTTTTTTTTCTAATTTCTCAATAATAATTGCAAAATCATTGAATAAATTTTATTTACTAATTCACAATTTTTTTATATGGGATTCATTTGGTTTAGCCGCCTTGAAGAATATCGGCGAAAAAACTAGCAGTCTTTTCGAACGCAAGAAGAAGGAAGTCGAAGATTTGGCCACCGAAAAAGCTACTGAAGCTCAAACTTATGCTGAAGAACAAGCAAAGAAGACCGGCGAAGCTATTGAAGAAACGAAAAATGAGGCGACCAACATTTTTGCAGGCGCAGGTAACATTTTTATTCATTTAATTACCCAGTTTTCGAGGGTTCTGATTACTTCACTCTAAAAAAATTTAATCAATTTTCGAGTTGCTATGGTTTTTAAGTGAATTTCGTGACCACTGAATAGTATTTTTTTCAACAAAATATAAAAAAAATATTTTTTTTTTCTTCAGCTGGTGATGTGAATACATCAATTAATAATGGAGCCGATGCTATGGATAAAACCAAACAGGATTTGAATGCAATGGTCAGCGATGCATCGTCATTGGCTGAAAAGGCCAAAACAACCGGTGGCACTTTGTTTGATCATGCAAAGGGTGCTGCCAATGAAGCTCTCGCTGCTGGCAGCAAAGCTGCTGAAAACATCGTCGATGAAAAATTAAAAGAAGCGGAAAATGTAAGTTTGTCTTCAAACTGATTGTGAAGCAATTCTGAGCATTTTTTTCTTCTCTCAATAGACTTTTGATGCTGGAATGAAATCAATGACCGGTGTGGTTGATCAAAAAATCAAAGAAGCCAATGCTTATGCTGATGCAACACGTGATGATCTTGAAAAGGTACAGTATATTTTCTCCAAATTTTCTTATTATTTGTTTGGTCTAACGCACAACACAAATTACAGAAATTACATGATGCCACTGTCAATGCTCAGAATAATGCCGGTATGGAAGCTGCTAATTTACTCGGAAAACTAAGCCTTACACGACCAACATAAGAAGGATTAAGGTTTATGTATCCGAAGTACCCCGATGCATCTAAAGAAGCTAGCTTATAAGAAGGAATAAAACAAAAACTAAAGTTTTTAAAATGCATTTCTTGCATTTATCGTTGAATGTTTTCTGTGCTTTATGTTATTTGAGCCAAATTGACATCACAAAGTTTAAATGAATGTTAAAACACTACCTTTTAAAGAAAATGCAAAATTTTAATTCTGACAGTCACAGAAATTAAGTAAATATGAATATTATTTTTTAAACAAAAAGTCAACAAATACGATTCAAATTCAGAAAACGGACGGTTTTCATTGAAATTATATTAAATTCTGAAATCTGGTGATTTTTCTTTATTTTTCTCTAATTTCGCAAATCACAGAAAAGTAACAATTCGCATATGTCACATAAAAATATTGGCCGCATTCGATACAATGCCTATCTATCACCAAAATGAAGCTCTTCGGAACATTATTTCAAACGCAAAATTTAATAAGAATCTCAAACATTTTAATTTCGCCACAAAAAAACACAAATTTTTAAATCAATTTTCCAAGATATTTTATTCAGAATAGAATAGGTAGGTGAATTTGAATCAATTTAAATTTTTAATTTCTTATTATAGCACATAAAAACACTTTATGAAGATAATTGAAAAACAATAAAAAAAAACTTGTTATCAGATTGATGTGTAAGATATAAACGCAACGAAATGCCTTTCTTTATATTTGACAAAAGAAAATCTAATTTTGAAAATAAAATAAAATCGGTCGTAAAATTGCATTCAACCAATTTTTTTTGTTCGCCCCATAATAAACACAACAGCAACAACATTTTAATAGGAATCTTTTCACATTCTTGTTTTATAGCAACATTTGCAAGTGCAGAGCTTCTCAATTGCTTCTTTCATGCGAATTAGATAACGAGATTTATTGTGTTGTGAACATGTTGTTGTTTTTGTTGGTATTTTTTTTATGAAATACAAATGTTGCGTATACAATTGTTCCTAAATAAAAGAAAGAAGTGATAACAATTTATTGTGTTGGTCATTTTCTTGTTATTCACAAAAACGTTTTGTAGCCGGAGCCTGCCATCATCATCGCGCATCGCATTTGAAATATCACTTCAACTGTTTGTTTTGCCGTCGTATAAAATGGAGAATGAGAAGGTGTTAATGCGACTGCTTTATTGTGCTGATGTTTGTTTAGCCGCGCGCGGAACGAATACGAATTTCTTGTTAATTGTTGTTAATTTGTTTTTGACTTCAATTCAAACATAGATTTAATGAAATGTACTAAGAAGGGCTTTATATCATGGTGCAACTACCGTGATTTATATTCAGCCACCACGAAACTAATTCTATTCGGTAGCATTCAATTTTTAATCAGCATCTGTTATTTTAAAAAGAACAGCGAATTTTTCACATTCGTCATTGTTACACAAAAAATCAACGATGCATACTCAAGGAGCAAATGTGCTATTTGTCGTTTTTACGAAATTGAATTGAAGTTTCAGGCGATATAAAAGAAAAGAATTACCATCTCACCTCTTTCGTGTGATAGCATCCATCGACCCTTAAGTGAATAAAATTTTCATGAAGTTTCTTACGTTTTTTTTTCACTCACCCCTCCAACACTCCATTATTCTCTTTTTTTACTGATCGGGTGCTGAGAGATTTTCATTTTTATGGAAAATTTCCGTTTTTGTACAACCCTCATTCGGTCTTTTATATTTGTATTTATTTTTTTTTGTTCTCACTCTATAAACTTGACCAATTCTAAGAGATTTTAATTTTAGATAAAATTATATGACTTTTTTTTCGATCCCTCCATTCAAACTCACTTTGCGTGTAACACATTGTTTGAGGAACTCGTTCGCGCTACCGAAAAGTAATTTATAGATAAATTAAAATGATGATGAAAGTCATTTTCAACGCACACACACATTATCACAAACCTATCCGATACAGTATCAACGTGTTCTGGTCGTGGTCGTCATGATAAACCCAAAATATTGAAGTACATCAAAAAAAAAATTCCAATCAGTGTCACTGTTCGATATAGAATTTCTGTCATTGCGTCCCAGAAAATTCACCAAACCATGAACACAAAAATTTATTGCCTTTACTCTCTCGCCAGCTCTCTGGAAAATACACGATTTTTAAATTAACAAGTTATTCTTATTTCATTTGATACGATACAAAATAATGAACAGGACAACAAATTATCGAGTTATTGATTTTATTTGAAACGAAAAGAAAAAATTCTTAGGTTAACAACGAATTTTATCTAATAAAAACATTAGCCATCGTTTTGAGTCTTCTGAAGAAATTTTGGCGCTAGCTTCACCATAAATATCGCCCCTGACGGTGCTGTTAGTACAATTGCCAATACGCTAATGACTAACACAATATTTGCCAACTCATAATATTCCGGAAGTTCTCTATATCGAACCATATCCAAAGCAACTGGTGCGAGAGCTGCCTGTGAATATGTGACGAAGAAGAAACAGTTTCAATGAAGGAAATACAATGCTAAAGATTTTTTTTTTCACTTTTGTTGCGTTAAAAATTCACTTTTGTTGCGTTAAAAATTCACATAAAGTATGTGACACTTGTCTGTATGTTTCTGCAGTGCAAACGGCGATAAAATAAAAACAGCAGCACAAATGACGTTAGCTGTGTTGAAACAAAAAGTAGCAAGTATTGACTAGTTTTCAAGTACCTGAACTGTTGCTTTGGGAAATCCTGAAATCGTTATGTACAAGCGTTCCTTCCAATTTAGATCGGCTCCAAAGGTGAGGGCATAAGACAAAAGCAGACGACACTATTTTATCACATACATCAAATATATTAGAGTAATGATAACGATGAAAATCGAACGAACACTGGAAGAGTTCACCATATCGAGAATAACTTGGTGGTATGACTTTATAAAGTAATGCAGACAAAAAAAGCACTTGAAATTCGTAAACTGAATGATTGAAAAGTTGGTTTCAAAAATGCTCCACTCAATCGATATAAGTCAGTATTGTTTTCGGTATGGAAACTATTCAGTGTAAAAATAGACTTACCAAAGAGCCAATAATAACGATTAATATGCCGTAACCAACAAGTTGAGCATCAAGTTTTCGAAACAACACTTCCTTTCCAATTAAAGCGAACGAAATTGGTTTCACAAACTTCCACAGCAAATTCAGTTTGTCCAGTACGTCAACCTGTACCAAAAATATCCGAACGATAAAAACAAACACCGTCGACAACAGAGTTGAAATGGTTAGATGGTTGGGATGAGAGTGTTAGTACAAATCCAAATAAATCCAAAAGGGTGCTATATTTGTGAAGTGTTTGGCAATTTAATCATATATTAAGCAAATAAGCAAACAAATGAATCGATCCAAATGAAATAGTTCGGTTGTGCAATGGTCCAATTTTCAATAAATCACGTACCAACACACACAAACACACACACCGGTCGAGATAGATAAGGATGAATATACATTTTTCTTGTTATTTGAAAAAGAGATTACACATTACGTTTCTTATGTGCTTTGGCTTCTGCCAAGTGCGACCGCAAACACACGCCAATACCATGCAACCCAACGCACCAGCCGACGTGAAACCAAGGTATCGGCTGCCAGTAACTGACAGAATACCACCGAAAACCATCATCGTAAACCGTAGCCCATTCGCATATTTCTGTGTCATGAAAATGGTAAACAAAATAATAGCAAAACGGTCAATTGACATAGGTTCAAGGAGAGACTCAGGATTTTTTTTTGTAGCCAAAAATACATTTCGTCATTTATGTTTACAGCAATTTGGAGTCTATAAGGAATATTCGAGGGGATGTGGGTGGAATTTATTACCGATTTTTCCGATGGCAACAATTTGCTAACCACTAAACCGTACACAAATCCATAAACAATGCCAATCGCAATGCCAACTGGCCCTTGTAATAATTGGTGGTGCAGTGGCCCTATTGTCAAAAAGAAAAAAAGAAAAGAAAAGAATCGTTCACATTTGCTGAATACATATATTGATTGAGGTGAAAACAAAAAATGTTGATTTTGATAATCAAGCGTAGTTTTCAATATAGTCAAATTTCAATTTACCTGTTGAAAATATAATGCCGAGAATAACATTGAAACAAAATATCGACAAAACATCATTGATTGTTGTAACGGCAATAATAATTGTGTGAATGCCTTTGTAGAGACCGAGTTTTTCAACTTTCAACCATAATACAATGTCGATGACAACATTTGGTGATACGGCCGTTACAATAAAACTGTATTTCGTTGAAATGAGAGAAATTTGTTGGAAAAAGTCATTTTCATAAAAACGAAATTCACTGCTATCAATTTGTATAGTAATATAGACTCATTATTGTCATGATAATTCTGTTTTTAACATGCACACACACACACAGTGAGAAGCGAGAAAAAAAATGTCGCAGCGGGAATCCATTGATTGACAACAAAGCGAGATGTCAACACACATCAATGGAGACGAATGAAAAAAGCACTAATCAATTACCCAAGCAAGAAACTCCATAGAAATGGCATTGCAAGTACATATTTGGCGATAACAGCGATGATAAGTACCTCTCCAACCGTTGGTAGAATGGATAAACGTAACACAGGCCATAATTTCTGCACGAGCGCTTTCAATTCGATTCCCATTCCAGCCAGCAGCATTATATTAACCAATGCCAAATCTCTGTAAAGAATTTTATTTAATTTTTTTTTATTTCTTTTTTCCATCTCTTGTTAAGATTTGAATATAAGTGTAAAGAAGATGAATTCAAAATGTAAATGTGATGTTACCGAAAAAATGCCTCAAGTTGTGTGTAACCATAGAAATTGGCTTGTCCTAAATTTGCATAGAGCATGCCAAATCCAATCATTCCGAGCATTTCGGGCCAACTTAATAGTCGCAATACAATGCCACACATTTGACCTCCAACGAATAAAATGGCCATTCGCGTTGGTGGCGATGTTAATGTTATGTAGTTGGGCAGTAGTATTGTACCAAGTATCCATAATATGATGCCGATACCGAGTAGTGCCACTTGCTGTGATATTTCTGACCAGTTCCGTACTAAATATCTCCAACTAGTTTTGAATCAATTCAACTCAAAAATGCTATGCAGGTGCAATACACATACACAACAGACAAAATAAATTGTCAAACCGGCTTACCATTTCGGCGCGCTATTATCGACATTTGATTCGTCTTCTTTGGAATGCGGTTGTTCACTGGTCGATGCCAATTCCAAACTCACCGATGGCACACTCACATCATTAATGCTCACTGATTGAAAACGGACACGAAAAATATAATAATAATAATGCATGATGAATTAGAAATAAATGAATGTAAATAATTTAATAATTGAAATTCAAACGTGTGGTACATTGAATAACAATACAATGTATACATAAAATATCAAAAATGTAAACAATTCATAGTTCAACAATTTCGAATGTGTTCAACAATAGCAGCGAAAACATAGAAAATCTCTTGAATTGCATCGAATTTCATACGGGTGTGAACCATTTCAACATTTAATATCTAAATGGTATTTTTGGTTTGGTTTATCAAATGTTTGATGTTGTTGTTGTTGTTTTTTGATGGTTTGTGAAAATCACGCTCATTCTAGATGTGGTGTTTGACTGAGGAATTAAAATTTATGCACCGAGTTATATACAACAACAGGATAAAATGAATCATTGAATGTCCATTTTTGTCATCATATGATTTCAATTTGTGTTAATTAACGCCGTAAAATAGTTTTGCGGGCATATTTCAATAAATTAGTAATTTGTACTGAACATGTTAATTTGATGGCATAGTAAATTTGATTGCGACAATACATTTATCGATGTATTTGCTCCGCAACACATCTATATCATGCCACGCAACGTCTGTCGTTTGCGTTTTTGATTTGTTGCAGCCGTTGCTGTCGTCTCTGCTGCGCTCATTGTTGCCGTTTCATTTTTCGATTTATTATTAATCACTTCTATGGAAGAACATTAATTTGATAAGATCAAATGACAGAAGCATTGAGATATTTGTTTTGGATATCAATTTTGTGTGAGCAAAAGTCTCATTTACATCAAATGGCAATTATTAAATTCATTACATCCTTGATACAGCCAATTTAATCAAATCGATATTTTCCTTCTCATGTCTCACGTTCGCTCTGTTTGTTTGACATTATAATCATCACGCCATTTGTTAGCACATTTGTGCACGTGTTAAATTAAACTATGAATTCTTTATTTCAGTTTTTGTGTTCCACTTACTTGTGTGCTTGATGATTTTTCGGTTTTATTATGAAAATGTTGGATTCTAAATGAAGTAACCGAATGTTCTGAAGTGTATTTAAAGTGTTTTCATCACTTTGCAAAATAAATTAACAAATTTAAATGAATAATCAGCCAATTGGCTGTCTCAAGAGAACAATCAGTTGATAATGATAAAAATGAATGCGACGATGTATAACACACATTTGCCTACTCACTAAAACATTAATGAAAACAGATGAAATTTCGATTTTTTTTATTTTGCTTGTGGTGAGAGAGTGAAACTGTCAATTTCTACGTCAGATATGCTAGTTCAGACGGTGTGAACGAGCTTAGCGTAGAACAAATATATATACTATCGGCCGTTCCTATTCCTATATGAGCGTGTATGGGTGATTGGTTTGATGTAATGGTATTCGAATATCAAAATCGCATGCTCAGCCTCATCATGTGTTTTTTTTTTTTGGCTGCATACTAATTCGTCGGGATCGCTGAGTCGCGCCATATATCAAACACATTGCTCACAATTACAACAGTTTGCTGTTGATATTTTTATACAGCATGCGTTCGATTTCCCAGCAGCAGCACACGTTCACGTAATGCAAACGGTCACTAAAATCTCACATTCAAACAGTGTTCGGAATGAGAATTCAGTTCATGATCGAATAGCATTGCGACAAAATCACCAACTACAAATCATGTCATTAAAGATGCTCCCAATGGTACCATTTCTGTGTATCGTATTTGGCCGATCAATCACAAAATACTGTCACAACAAAATAATGTTTGTACACTCTCTTCGGCTATGTGTGTATATGAACGTGTTTGGCGTTTTTTTTTTTTTGTTTATTCCCTTTTTTTGCAATGAGCGTGCACATTTAATGTGTATGCCTTCTTTCGATGTGATAGATGGGAATCGTTTTCACTTCAACTTGTTTTGTCAACACAATTTCCAACATTTTAATAATTAGACATGAAATGTGGTTTCGACGGTGTACAAACACGATTCTTGTTAGATATGTTGCAATTTTTTTTGGTCGTTTTTTTTTTCGTATGGTTGTTGTCTGCAATCATTTATCTACAATTCTTTTTGCACATGGAAAACCATAACAAAACACATCAAAAAATGAACGTGGAAAGAAGAGAAAGGTAGAAAAATATTGAAACGCTCGTAAAGGTTGAATTGGATTTTGTCAAAGGTCTGTCTCATTTCGTGACCATTTGCAATGTTTAAACATGAAATGTGGTTTTCTTTCGAAAAAAAAACCACAGTATTTTGTATGAAATTGGTGTAAATAAAAATATTCGTTCAATGTTCATGTGAAACAAACAGCGTTCACCAATCGAGAGCGAAACAAACAGCAGCCTTTTTTTAGCTCCCCATTTATCGTACAATGAAATCTAATCCATGGTTAGCTTGAAATTTAATTAAAGATTGCATTTTTGTTGGCAAAAAAAATGTGAAAAAATGCTCAAAAAAAAGTATATATAACAAATGCCAAAGACAATGGCACTTGAGTTGACGTTGATGTTATTATGGTTTTTATCATCGTAATACTTTTTATTCACTCCGAGATGGCTGAGATGAAAATGTTATTCAAGGCACATCGATGTGATGGGACAATAAATGAACTGATGGCTAAGTGAGTGGTATCGTGCATTTCTTGTTTTGCCATGTATGAACTGAAAGGATGTATCGGTTGTTGTTTTTTTGTGTGTGTGTCTCTCTCTGTGTTGTTTATGTATCGACAGCTTTGCAACCACACACAACCTGACCATCAACCACCGTGCATATGGCAAACAAAACAAATATCCACTTTGGAAAATTGTTGAATTGTTGTACTTGAAATTGGTTCCCGTTTTTCACTCATTTCCCAAATCGTTTTTCAGCGGTGTGTACTATTGATGCAAAGAGGTATAATGTTTATACAAAATATTAACGATATCGGTATATAACCGTGCACCGTTCTTTCTATTAACTTTTAAAATCGAACGTGGAGCGCGAAAAAAATATGTGAAACGATTCAATAACAACAACAAAAAAAGGTAGTATAGATACTATAGTGAACGAAAAGCACATACATCCATTTGCTCGCGCACACACAGGATTTTAGTTAAACGCGCACCAATCCACATGTACTGAGAATCCAAAACACACTGTGGAAACCGGTTTTTGAATCCAAGTTCGACGTTTGTTGTATCAGTGGCAAACAGCAAATTGCTGAGGACGGATGTTCTTTCTTACCGAACACACACATCCTCTTTTCATTCAAGTTTATCTGCAAGTCTCATTGAAGTTTCGATAAAGTTTAAGTTTTTCTTTTTGCGTTGAAAACACGAACAAAAAATTACGTCAAAAACACGAACATTCATATATTTTCTCAACAAGTGAAAGTTTATACCGTTTTATTTCGATCAAGAGATGAAAATTACATCCGTGAATTAAATTGTGCGATTAATTTTAATTACATTTAATTAAATAAAATATCGATAAAAAAAATTATTGACATTTTTAAAAGTGATTAAAACCGATTCCGTTTTTTTTTATTTGCGGTGAAAACGAACAAAAAATTCGAGAGAAAAATAAATATCAATTTGAGTGGAAATAAATTGAATTGGTATTTTGTGACATGATAAACTTTATAGTCAATGACATTTTTACAAAATAACCGAAAAAAAGGATGTATGTTTTGAACTGATATTTAAGCAAAAAAAAATTGAGTGTGTTTACTTTATTGCATATATTATCCAATCGAAGAATAATACCTTCAGTCCAATTATGAATTGAGTGATGCCATTTCTCTTTTTAACCATTTATTTCGCTTGCTAACGTAATTTGAAACAAATAACTTTATTAAAAATATAAACTCTAAACTTCGTGTCGCATTCAGAAAAGTGTGAATTTCATGATTGGTGCTTCTGAGCGTAAAGAAGTTGAATAAAAATTGAAGAGTAGAATTAAAAAAAAAAAAAACGGTGAACAATTCTTTTGTTCAGCATGAATGATAATCGATATATTCGCGTATTTCAAGTCGATTTAAAAAATTAATTTTTCAAATTCCAAACGAAAGCGTATGAGATACACTTGGAAGAAATGATCATGGTTGATTGAAAATTCTTGTGTGATAAAAAACATGATTTAACATTGGAGACGGGAAAAAAAAGCTTTTCGTAAATTTCAAACGTTTTGCCAAAGTCAAACGAAAAATGTCTTTTTTTTCTGTGTCTCGCGTGTCTTTCTCTATTGTTGATTTTGAATTTATGATAGCAATCATGGTGCATGTTCCTGATCTCTGTCTCGCACTCTTTTTCGGTTGCGTTTCATTTGTTTATTATTCTCATGCCAGCACACCAACGCCGAAAGAGAAAGAGAGAGGGATGGAAAGAAAATGAGAATGAAAAAAAAAAATCGCAGTCGCTCAAGCATTTTGTGATATTAAACATACACACATACGAATACATTTCCATGGAAATTTATTTCATCCGTATGAAAATGCCATACAAAATTAACGTAAAAAATAAGAATAAAATGCTCGTTGTTGCCTTTGAAATATAGAGAATTGAAGACGATACACTCACACACGCACATCACTACCAAAAAAGTTTGCTTAAATTCGATGGAAATACAGCGACGAAAAAAAATGCGATCGACAAAAGAAAAACGATACGAAACAGAAACGTCGAAGGTCCTTGGCAGAGAAAAAATGTTTTATTTTCGAGATGTAATTTTTCTCATTTCTTTATCGTCATGTTCGATGAGAATAGGCTGCATGCCTCAAAGATAAGGGATGAGATGCGAAAATTCGCACGTTGAGGTGTGTAAAGTGTGTTTTGGTGTCAGTCATAACACACAGACAACGAATTAAAAATGTGTTTGATGCTATCAAAAAATTTGCATATGCTAACAGGGACTATTTTTGGTCGAACAACTGCCGCATAATCCTTAGCATAGTGTATGTGTTCAGATTTCACCTGTTGTATCCCAGAAATTGTTGGAATTATTTTACTTTAAAACAATGTTAAATTGTCTGAAATGGTTGAAATGTCCCAAACCTCTGACGCATATAAATTGTAAATTGCAATGATGTATTCGGAAAGACCTTAAGCGGCAACCGAAATTCTCGTTAAACTTAGAAAATTGTATATTCATCGAAGTAAAATCTGTTTTAATGTTCTTAACATACAGGTTTTATTTGTTGTTTCTGTGTGTACGGTTATTTTGTTCCCTTCCTTATTTCGTGTTTTGTTGATTTTTTTTATTCTCTGCTCGAATATTGTGTGTTCATTTGGTGTGGTGCCAGTGTGCCATTTGTTCTACTTTGGCACTCTTATTATTTTGTCGTTCATTATTTTTCATGTGTAATTTGACACGGTGCGTTAAATGTATGTTTGATCGAAGTGGCAACGAAGAGAGAGAAAGAAAGAGAATGAATACAAAGTTGAGGTGTTTTGTGTTTTCGTGTCTTCTGCTGCTTACATTTAAACACACTTCGAAACAGCCAAAATTGGAACAAAGTATCAAATATTAAACCTTGGCTCACCATCACCACTTCCACCATCCACCTTTAGACCAACGAACTTTCATTTTCACGCTCTCGGTTTCTACTTCATATTTGTTCATCGCAAAAAGACAGAAATACAAAAATGCGAAACATATTCATTACATTAATCGTCATTTGCCAAAATCATATTATTTGAAAGGTAGCGTCGAACCGAACGCCACGTTACAACGAAATACGTTTGATTAGCTTTATTCTCGTCAGCTCTTACTCTCTCTCTCTCGTTCATACTGATTTGCGTTCAAACAAACATTCCAAACCATCCAATGGAATTTTATCAAATATATACGCAATTTAATAAGAATACAAAATATAATTTATATGCACATGTAGAATGAATTCGGCTCCATATTTCGGCTTAGATCTTTGCAAGAATGAGACACACGTCAAGTGAATGGATACAACAAAGAAAAACCGACGCACACACACACCATCACATACCAACAAATGTAATTTATTTAAAAAAAAACACAATGGAACAAATGAACATTTGAATTTGCGATATGAGCGCAAATAAAATCGTAAAAAAGAAACGGGCGGCGTTTAGTTCAAATTCAAAATGAACAAATCGTTTCCTCTGGATTACTTGTTGTTTTTATATTTTTTTGTTCTTTACATGCCGTTCGGTGTGTAGTTCTTCACTTGATTCGTACAATTCGATAGCATGCGTGTGTGTGTGTGTGTGTGTGTGTGTTAGGTGTATTGACATTCATTTTGCATATGGTTTGGGGCTGGCGTCAACAATTCCAAAACTTTAAATACCTGACTATGTCAATTACGACAAAAGAAAAACAACCATGAAATGAAACAAAATTGGCATTTTCATCATGTTTATGTGAGCCAAACATGTGACAATTAACATGATATCAACAAAATATTTTCACTATATTTGTTTCACCAATTTTAGTTTCCGTTTTTGCCAAAAAATCATTTCAAACTGCAACACATGCTTGTTCTATTACAAAATTATAGATTTCATGCTCGTATTATCCCTATAAATGTCACATACTTATTTAATGAGTCTCATAATAATCGGCATTGTTCGACGGTGGTTGTGATGGTGTTGGCTATATATTCGGCATGTGTCTGCATTACTATGCGCTATGTTATATGTATGTTGGTGTCGCACACATGATGAGATTACGACAAAAGCACCGCAAAATGCTGCTATTAAGCTGGTAAGCTGTTAGCCACAAGGCATTGATAACATATTTAATGCAGCAACAAAATTCCGTTACCATTTATTTTGACGACTTCTTATTCTTATTTTCTTTCTCACCCTCTCTATCTTCCCCTCTGTCTTCATCTCTTTCACAACAACTCTATATATACATTTCATTTTTTCCATTAATATTAAACTTTTGTTATGCAAATTAAATTTGAAACGCAACGATTTCGATCTTATTACAATTCATCTCTCTCTTGTACATTCCATTTTTCGGTCTTTCTCGGTTCGGTACAGGATTACATCCACTTCAAATGAGAGAGAGAGCGAAAAAATATACCCACAAATAGTATGCGTCTTTTGATGTGAAATGATAATCGTGATTCGTGAATAAAAAAGTCTACTTATTTCATAAAATTTCCATTGACAACGAAAAAAAATCCCGTTTCATTTCAAATAAAATTGATTCGTCTTATGATTCACGGTGGCAAATGCAAATGGATTTTACGTTGTGTAAAAATCCGTGCAAAATTTTCATTTGATATGCTCAATCATTATTAAATTCACTGAGCGGCAAACACCATTACACGCGCAATTCTGAAATGAATACGCCAAGCCGAATTGTCAGGATAAGAGAGTGTGTGTGTGTGTACGAGACAAAGAATGCTCGTTCATAAAAATCAAATTAGGAACTAAGTCGAACACTTGCCCAAGCTTAAGTGCGCTTAAGATAGAAAAGAATGCAAAGAAGAAGAAAAAAAACCATGTGTACAAATCATGTAATCAGCAATTAACCAAAGAGTCATAAAATGGAATCAGCTGTAACTTTATTAGCCGTCAGTAAATCGCAAAAAAGCATAAGAATCAAATAAATTCACGTCAACATATAAAGAAAACAATGTATTTGATCCAGAGAATGGGAGATAGAGTGATGGTATTGAAAAGGTTTCAGAGAGGTCATGGTTTGAATTTCATTAGGCAATGGTTGAGATTTGTTTGCACACCACAACGAAGATGGTCAAGAAAATGTTCATTACTGCATGTGCACATGAGCATGACACCCATGACATTCCACTCGAATTCATTACGTTAGTCTAATCATTTTTAGTGCTTTACTCTCGTAAACATCAAGCACATAAAACACTGGAAAAATTGTAAGTGATAACGCAAAAAAAAATGAAAACAAAAGCACCATGAACCAAAATCACCTTCTCTCAACAATGTTGTACACGGATATCTTTTATATATATGAGTAAATCTGCTGGAATGTCCATTCTCGAATTTTGATTAAAAAGAATTTATATGCAGTTTTTTTTCTTAATCCGTGTGAGATGGAAACTGACTTTGACACGCAACATTGCAATATCCATCGCCGCAGCAGTTACTGAAACAAGAGGAAAAACTCCGCATGAACACACTTGGGAATTAGTAAACCGAATTTGTAGCAACGTAGCGTGAAAATTACCGATACACTGGTTCACACTTCACACACTTGACGTACACATAACAAATTTTTATTGAAATTTGATAAGAAATGATGTGTTGGGGAGAAGGGGAAGTTGAGGATGAATTCAACACAATTTCTTCGAGAAAATTTGCGGTATTCGTTTAACATGGGTATGATCATGCTTTTCACCGCACACTGATTCAACATTTCGTTGGGTTTATTAAGCGGAAACTAACATTAAGCAAAATCTATTAGTAATGCGAAGCATCAAATGAGATTTAATCCGTACAATTTATTTCTGGAAAATCGAAAATATTCACCGACTGTGAATTGAAGAGAAAAAAATTTCAACAAGAATTACTGCAGCACGTTCAGTAACGGATTTCTTCGAAAAATCGACATCAAAAAGATTTTGTATTTTCCAAATCATTTTTTGATTTTGAGCAGAAAATTTACAGAGAATGACATTTTTCGGATGGAATTTCCGTCAAATTATTCTCTTTTGGTGATTT